GACGCGTTTCGAATGCGTTCTGCATCCATTATCAAGGCTGAATGGATGCAGAACGCATTCGAAACGCGTCGGCCAACTCATCACTATCTACAACTTTTACCAGTTGTTCTAACAACGTTAAGACGGCTTATCGACTTCTTGAGAAGAATTCTAAGAAGAAAGTAAACCTACAGACATCGGTCTTGTTTAACAAAATCTGCCTACAAGAGTATATTAATGAATTTGTGATTTTACATAGTATGTTGTAACAGGAATAATATAAAGTTACACAATGTGATGCAACATTTGGTCCTTGCCGGTAGTGAAGGGTATAAGAACAAGTCGGGAATTTAAAAAGTTAAAATGCTATATATTTTCTAAGAACGTTAAAAAGTACGTGCTGTTACTTTGAAGTTTAAAATACCGGTTAAAAAAGTTAATTCTTTGATTTAACACGATAATAATAACTTTAACTAAATCCAAGGAGAGTGTGTAAGTGAACAATGTTAAGTTTAAAAAAAAAACATCTTAAAATATATATAATGTGTGTGTTTTTTTGTTTTTCGATTGTGTAACTACATCGTTATTTTTCACTTATGTAATCTTCCGTTTGAAAAGAAACAAAACAAATTACAAATTAGTTGTTTCAACGATGAATGAAATTGGAATTTCCTTTGTGTGTGTGTTCTGTAGTGATTGCAACACATATCGCTGTTATTGTAATCCAGCATGAAAAGCTTACTCTTTACGTACAAGTTAACGAGGACACGAATCCGAATACTTTGAGGAAGAATAGTGAATGTTCTTTAGTAGCATCGTGTCATCTATCATGTAGTTGATCAAATTAAGATGAACGTTAGTTTTGGAAAAACGTTCACATTGTTATGTATGTCGTTGAATAGTTTTTACTATAATCTTTTTTTTTCTGAGGTTATATATATTAAACTAACACCACTTTCTTTTTGTTCAGCCTTACATTTTGTGGCATGACAATGAAAAATTATGTAGAGGAAAACATTTCCTACAAATCACATATCACCTTGAAATACGCCATGAAGATGTTAGCCAGTATATCAGAATCTATCATTTTCATGTTCCTCGGAGTTTCAACAGTGAATGACGAACACGAATGGAACACGTGGTTTGTTGTCATGACTATTGTATTTTGTTCAATATTCCGCTCGATTGGTGAGTATTGTCGCGTGGTTTGTCTTAACTATCGCTCAATATACGTTTAATGGTAAAGAAACAACCAAAATAATTACTTCAATTTAAAAAGAGGAAACGCACGAGTCTCTACCGTTAAATTATTTTATCAGTTGTCAATACACTGAAGTAAATCACGGTGTACGAGAATAGGCACCGGAAAATGAAATAAAGCTAGCGAGGTTTTCTGTTGATGATTCGCAAGGTTACAGTTCACTGAAACATGAAATTGTTTCTGAGCTGGAAAATCAGTTTCTTTTACTCATGAAGTTAGAACGAAGGATTAACATTGACTAGTTTAAGATGATGTAGTCTTTGTGGATATCCTAACCAAAGAAAAATAGAATATTTGAATTTTAGTTTATATGCCAATACGGTAAATTTGTTAAACTTCATTTAATATTTACCACTCACTTTGTGAAAAACCAAATTAATAATAAAAAAAGTTTATTCTTCTCAACCTCAAAGCTATTGGTCAAACGGACCTTTGTAGCTGCGGAGAAATTGCCCTTATACAAAAATTATTTAGCAATATCTAAGTATTTTCTGTGAACAACTTTCACGTTTCTAAGTTTTTTGCAGCTCGGGTTTTTGCTTTTGAAACTAAAATTGTTTAGAATCCTGAAGAACTTTGTTCCCCTAACATCTTGATTCAAGGAGAAAAATAAGAAAGAGACGATTTATTATTATTATTATTCCTGCATACTTTGATATAAGATTTTTTAAGTATTTCAACTTACAGTAGCGGTGATAAGGCAACACACTAAACAAATGCTTCTTACCAAATATTTTTTTTTATTTCACTGGCTTGATTTATGTATCTAGGTAATGTATGTTTTATGTAGTGTTGTAAAATAAAATATTTTGTCAAATATTAAACTAGTTTCGAATAGTTTCAATAAATGGTGTTGTATTATATATTTTTCTTTGCCAAAATATTGTTTTTGATTTCTAGAGAATAATTACCCCCTTAACTATAGATATATTTGTACAGATTTATATGGTAGGCAGTGAACCATTTTGGATTGTGTAACGAGTTTTATTTTAGTTATGTAACTTGGAGACGTGCTTTTAAATTGTTAACGCAGATACGTTAGCGATTCGAAACGTTGCCTTCTAACTACCGTACTCGCTTGTAATTCGTTTCATTTCTTATAGTAAAATATAATGTATAATTTCATCGTACTTATCTCTGAGGCCCGAATTTCATATTAATCGTCCTTTCACTTATTTTGCTTATGTATATTTCAATAATATTGTTTTCTTCCTCATCATCTAGGCTTATATGATTTATAATTTCATATAAGTTCTAATTTCAATAATATTGTTTTATTCCTCATCATCTAGTTTTATATGATTTATAGATATAGGGGGTTCTAATTTCAATAATATTGTTTTATTCCTCATCATCTAGGTTTATATGATTTATAGATGTAGGGGTTTTAATTTCGATAATATTGTTTTATTCCTCATCATCTGGGTTTATATGATTTACAGATGTAGGGGCTCTAGATTTTTTTGATTTTTTTTACCCAATGAAACGTTTTCCCCATTAATAAGAAGTTGTCGTTTTGTTGTGTTTCAGTTCTGGTTCTTTAACCAATTTCACCTGCTCAAAAGTTTGTTGCTCCACTGATGTTGGTGTCTTTGTTTTCTGTATTTCTAGGTGTGGTGATCCAGACTTGGATTTTGAACTACTTCCGATTACACAAGGTGAATCGCGTGGAACAATTTATTATGGCTTATGGAGGTCTTCGTGGTGCTGTTGCATTCGCTCTAGTTCTTGTTGTCTCGCCAAAAATTATTCCCGCCAAAAAAATGATGGTTACAACAATTATTGCTGTCGTGTATTTTACAGTCTGCCTCCAGGTAGTATAGAATTTAATCTGGAATATTATTTCTTGACAGACACTGTCTTATGACTTCAATAGGAATTCGGAATGTCGTCAGTACAAAACTCTGGTCAGTTGCCTCAAGACTGGCACCTCGGTTTGTTGTCCATAAACAGTGTTCGTATATCTACTTTACTGTTATAAAATGTATTTAAAAAATAATAGTCTCATGCATTGAATCTAATATTTGTATGTGGTTTGATTCGGGGAGGGAGGCTTAGACGTCGTTATAAATGTATTTTAACTGTTTTTTTCGTCATTGATAAGAAGAAAATTGTAATCGTTCCTTCTTATTTGTTAAGGGCACTTATAAATTAATTATATGTTTTTAGGTAAAAGCAAAGCCTGTAAAATCCTACATTTTATGTTTTATTATATAAGACTTTGTTTCGTCTGATGCTTGTTGTGGCTTAGTGGCTAGTGTTCCAAACTGTGAATTCGAGGACTCATGGTTCGTGTTCTGCTGCCGCAATATCGTCCTCCATATTTTTGGGTTGTGAGTGCGCTATATAAGTGATCAATCAAATCCCACTATTCGATCAGACCAGAGTAGCCAAAGAGTTGACGGTGGATGATTTGACAAGATGTCTTCCCTTTAGTGTTTCAGTTAAAAATTAGGGACGGCTAGTGCATGCGGATAGTAATTGTGTAGTTTTGTGTGAATCAATGATGAGTGTTGGTAACATTCCAAGTTAAGTATTGAACAATATTTCTTTTTTGTCGTTGTTACGGTGTATACGCCTTTTAAAAACTGATGAAAAGTGATTAGTTATACTAGGAACTAGATAAAGAACGCAATGCTTAAAATGTAGTATGTCTAATACTAATGCCTTATGATGAGTGCAATGTCAATTATTTGTCGCCAGCTTGTAAAAGGCGTACAGTCCATAAAAACCAGGGGTGTAGTGCGGTGGGAATGCGTGGGCACGACGTACCTGTACGTTTTTTTTTTGGCCGGAGCGCCGTTCCGCCCCTATTTCGGACGAATCCCATCTCACATTAGATTTCGCGTTCCGGCAGTTCTTTGTTTAGCATTGCACCACTGACAACAAGTGTTGTTGTATCAAATAGTTTATATAAATAGTGTTATGTCTACTCTGTGTTTGTTGTGTCCCAGTTGGCGTGAAGAGCTCCGGATTGAGCTAATCGCGTCATCTACAATGGATCTGACAAATATAATGTGGGCGGAATACTATTATTATACACTATTCTAATTATTGAAAATCACTAGGGATTAGACAAAGAATATACTATTTAAAAAATGTCATAATCCTAATACTAATGTCTTTTGACAAGTATAATTTATGATTTCATTTCTATTTTTCCTAGGGCATAACCATCGGACCACTAGTGAGGTTCTTAAACGTTCCAAAAAGCAAAAAAACCAAACCTTCCATGAACGAAAGGTTACATACTAGAGTAAGAAATGAAATACAACTGTTGTATGAAAATTCATTTGGAATACTTGACTAGAAAAGTGACTGTTTGTTATTATTGTTTAAGATTAGAAGATAAAAAAAACAACTTTATAATTGTTATTAAATTTCACATTATATATTTACCGGGATTGATCTTAAGCTACTAAAAGCATTTACTGACTGACGAATAAATTCCATTACGGATCCAGTTGAACGTAAGGTTTGGGTAATTATATCTACGATCTAGTAAAGAATTAATTTTTTCGTGACTGGTGCTTTTTTCAAGACTGGTGTAAATTCTTCTTAACATGAACTGTTCGTTTGCTTGATTTCTCTCTTTTTACAGTTAATAGATCATTTGATGACGGGAATTGAAAACATCATTGGTCACTCTTTAGGGAATTATCATCTACGTGACAAGTAAGTTAATCACCATCAGTTGGAATAGCAAAAACTATCAATAGATGGTATGTTATTTTTTGTGACTTAATAAAATTAACACCCTTATAGAAACATTGATTGTCAAATGTTAATATAGCAGACACAGGTAAATATTCATCTTCAAAAGAAATACATTTTTGCATCATTTTGAAATGATGCACAAATGTATATTTTAAGATTGTTTTAAGCTTACCTAACCTTAAAACAAGTGTTACCATATTAAACGAAATTTTAAAAAGTAAACTGACATAAAACGAAAATCATTGATAAGTTGCAAGCATTATTATAATACAAATTCACTATATTACAGTCTAATGAAAATTCAAGGAAATGAATAATATGAGGAATTTCCAAAGATACTTTTCACATTAACCTGATAACTTGGGAGAGGGGCTTTCGTAAGTTAGATTTTTCAACGGGGTGACCTAGATGCTCTCGGAAAGTGAGCTTTGCTTCATCAGGCTAGTGATTCAGGTGCTCTCAGAAAGTGGACCTTTATTATATATATCGCTACAAATAATATGCATGTAATTAAACATCACTCATTTTTATTTAAAAAAAAGAAATTAAACTAAAGTTATGTTATCGTGTGCGATGTAAAAGATTCAAATGACAAATGCCATTACATTGTTGAATGCAGAGTCACAGGAACCGCAACAGAATAGTTACAGGTCAGATAACTGGCTACAAAGTAGTCAGTACGACCTTCGCTTGTTTTGTTGGTTGTCGAACAAGTCATTAACAGCCTCTACAACAACTTAACCTATAGTGAATATTTTTTTATGTAGAGAATTATGATCAAAATAACATCGGTGCAAAGGAGACTGTAAATACATTAAAGGCTAGAAAATAACGGTTTATTAGACTTACGAGCGAGTGATATACGTTCTTCGAATTGGCGATGCCCTTTCTTTGGTATGAAGATTTGAATTCTGTTTTCTATACTGCTTCATATATACCTGTAACTGTTTTGTAAACCGTACAGGCTTATGTAAGCACTTTAACTTATATCCACGTGGCTGCTGCTTAAAATTGTCTGTGTTCGTTATGACTCGTTTCCCTTCTGCTGTAATTCGTATTAGTGTTACTGCTATGATAATTCGAGTATTTTGCTTTTGTGAGCTATATATGATTGAACTGAGGGTGAAAAATACAAGCGAAATTAATGTAAAAGTAAACAGTTTAATGACCAAAATGTATAACGACATTTTTGTCCTTAATCAATATATTTTATCTTTTTTTGACTCTTTACCTCCAAATGCCAAATTCATTTTAGAATCTTTAACTGTTTACAATGAGTCATTCATTTGGGCCAGAAACTCAATTCAATTTGGGAAATCACAAACTAATCGAAAGTTATTGTGAGGTGGTAGGGGCAAAATTGTTGCTACACTCCCTGTTACAACGTCTATGAAAAGTATCGAGAAGTCACTCCCAGAGATCATTAATCGGTTGAAAAGTGCGCATAACCGAGGACATGTATGATAAAAAAAAACAAAAAAAACGTGTTATCTGTATTAAGAACCAAAAAGACACACAAAACTTTCTTAGAGAAACCTACCATCTACTTGAGACATATTGGATGAACCAAAACCTAAGGTGAGGAGAAACTTACGTTACCTTACTATACGTTTCAATTGTGA